GGGGGGGGGGGGTTCTGTCTCCCTGTCTCCCTCTGCCCTAATCCATCTATCACCGTCTATCAGCCTGTCAATTTCCACTCTCCTCCCTGTTTACCCCTTCTTCTTTAGAGTGGCCTGTCCAGGGGCCTTTTTTCCTAGGGCATTCTGTCCACTGCTCTATGTTAAGGTTTTATTTGAAATCAATTAGAATTAATACAAAAACATGTATATTTTTCTGGTAAAGTTTTTTACCAGACAAGCTTATTGTAGCTAACAAAAGGTACTATACACAAACCCTACATGCTTTTTCTCTGGCATTAATGAGTGCATTTGAATCTAGGAACACATTTCTTGGGAAATAAAGGTAACCCCAAATTATCATTATCTTGTAATCACACTGGCCACTCTATATAAAAACATTTCTTGCTGCTCATGATTACTAATTTAAAGAGGCCCTAATATGGTTTTTGGGATTTTTGCATTTTCCTGTAGTGTGTTATAGGTTTATGTGCATGATAATGGTCAGCAAAGACTAATTTCCCAAACTCACGCCCCCCTGCCTGAAACACCTCCATTGGACTCCTTTGTTTTCTTCCGTAACATAGTGACATCACTATGTAACATCACTATGTAATACTCAATATTCTAGTGGCTAGCACCACAAATTGTGCGTGATGAGAGTGGGACATCTCTAAATGGTTGACCAATCGCAACAGAGCCAGCCAGCTAACCAATCAGAGCAGACTGGGCTCTGGTTTCAGACAGAGGGTGAAAAGAGGTGCTGCAGCACAGGCAGTATGAGACAAATAAAGAGCTTTTTGAACATTAAAGCATGTCCGAGTTAAAGGGCCACTTTTAAAAAAGCCTTTGATATTAGGCAAGAGAGTTCTTGTTATTGGCTACCATGACAGAAAGTCTTACTGCAAACGAGATCCTAGGATGCCCAAAAAAAGACACAATACACTTGTCATTCATTCTTCTTTTAAGGTGACAGTAGGGGTAAGTAAATGAATAAACAGAAGTCAAATTAAAACACAACAGTATCATTGGCTAAAGTGGCAAAACGCTCTTGGGCCCACATTAATTGCTTTAAAACTTGTCATTTGCACTGCTGATTAATAAACACCAACGTTTACGGGGACTCTCGAAAGGGACTGTCAATTGCCAGAGATAAATTATTCAAATCAAAATCCAATCTAATTAAACTGCCTTTTATTGTCTTTTTAGACTTCAGTTACGAATGACTTATTAATATGCATGTTTTAACCCTGATGTTTTAAACATGAAAGTGTAGAGGGAGATTTTAAAATACACTTTGAATGGGAATTTGTTCTTTCTTTTCTGGTGCCTAGACTCTGTTATGCATGTGACTCCTGCTAAAATGTATATTGATGTGACTTATCATGTGTCCTCCCATCAGCTCAGGAAATGAAGGGAGAAATAAGGAGGGAAAATAAAGGAAATTAAAACTAGGTCACAGAATTTACCTGGGATTTCATTCCTTGTTTTGTTTACAGTTTGATTGTCTTTTCTTATTTATCTCCTTTTGTCTCTCCCTTCTTTGATTTCCTTTCTTTCTATCCATCTATATATCTATCTATCTATCTATATTAGGAAATCACAGTCAGATATCGAGGGCAATCGTTGCCATCCGAGTAATGGACATTAATGACAATGCGCCTGAATTTGCCACCGAATACGAGGCCTTTCTTTGTGAAAATGGGAAACCTGGACAGGTAAGAAAAGAAGTGGCTCATTCATCAAACCACTGATCTATCTTCTTTCTCTCACTCCCTTTGCTTCTGTCTCTCTTTCCTCCCCTGTAATGATTGGCCACATTGAGTTATAGCCTATTTATTTCACCGGGAAACTACCGAGGTGGGAGTACAGTCCCTTTTCTCCCTGCCCTAGCTCTCCCTTCACAGTGTGCGCAAAGCAAAAGGCGGAATGAGAGCGGTCAGGATTGATCAGAGTGGATTGTAATTCAAGACTGCCTTTCATGTCCTCCTCCAGATGGCACAATGGTTACCCAAGCCAAACACTCTAGACAAGTACTTAGCATTATCCTTCTCATCAATCGACCTCATTGGAGGGACCTATGCACGTACAATAGGAAGCTTTATTGGAAGGACTGATCAAAAAGAGGAGCCAAAAAAAATTATTCTAATTTCCAATCAATCATAACGGCACGATAAAACCTATGATGACGGATTATCAGATAGAGCCAGGAGCCTGAAAAGAGTTCCAGACTAGACAGGACCTCATTGATAATAATCTCAAACTCCGGGAATGAATAGGGCATACATTTCATCAGGTGTGATGCAGCCAGTATTAGATTGAGGCAATCTGCGGTGGCAAAAACAGAGTAATGAATAGGCTGCCTCCTCTAATGACTTCCAGTGCCTCTCTGTATAATCTTCTTGTCTCTCTGCTTTCAACACAGGTAATCCAGACTGTCAGCGCGGTGGACAAAGACGACCCAATCCAGGGCCACTACTTTGACTATCGTCTAGTTCCTGAGATGCTCAACAACCCCAATTTTACTATAAAAAACAACCAAGGTGAGGAACAAAAATATGTTACTTCTTTGAGTGAAGTTTCTCTACATTTCTTTAATGGCTTTCCAGGCTAATCGCTAACCCTTGGCGTGTTAGCCATACTCGAGATGAAATGTGGTGGATCAGTGTAGCTCAAAATTAGCAGATGTGAAATTGTCTGGACACCAGCTTCTTTTTTACTCCCCAGTGCATTTTGAGGGAAACTAAATGAATGGGATCCAAATGGCTTTTCCTGGTAGTCTCGCAGCTCAATGTAGGGTGACTTCCTTCCCTGAGCTGTTGCATTGTGGCAGATGGTGCTACATTTATTTGCTAAATACTCTGATTGGTTTATTTGCCGTTTTCGCTCTGTCTTTATTCCATTCCTCTTCGCCTGCCTCTACTCCATAACTGGCTCCGAACAGGCTGTGTTCATGATGATATTGTGTAATGTTTTCAGCTCTGGGCAGATCATCTTCATATGGTACTAGCCTTCTGTTTCGGCGTAGAGGCTGCAGGCTAACTTACTGCAAGTGTCCATAAAATTCAGGTCATCCAATGGGCTCGCCATTTTTAACAAAAAAAAGCTTTTACTTTTGAAACAGGTACTTCAGCAAGGTGGAACATGAGTGTCAAAATCACAGGCAATTCAAATATATAAATATATTTTTTACCTCTTTTGAATGGAAGGGACCTAATCATATTTTGACTGTCGAGAACATGCAAAATCATGAAAAATGGAGAGATGTTTAACAAGCACTTACCTGCTGCAGAATACTCTTAACTGTGAATCAACCTGAAAGGATATAAATAATGCAGGACCTGGAACCCTGTCCTTTTGTTAAGAAGACATTTCAAAGTTTCTTAAGATGATGTTACAGATAAATCCCCCCCAGAAATGTTTTCAGATTATTCATAAACACAGACCTGCGTTATTCCAAACAACAAAAGCCCTCTCACTAGTCTTTAACCACAGTAAATATATGTTGTAGTTCCGCTCTATATATACTACATACTGCATCAACCACTTGTCTACGGTATTGCCGATTGCAAAGAGAGACAAGAAGCCCGTCGCACCATATCCCCCAACACTTCAGTGCCTATTTCTATCTGAATGTGCAGCTGTGGGAGACACTTGAGTGAAGAGCATCAGGCTCCTGTGAACCTGCGTGGGCTGTTTTTGTTTGTGATGATGGGTTTAATCGTAGGGATTGTACAGTGAAGAGGTTAGAGGCTGCTCACACTGAGGAAGAAGGCGATGGTTTTGACCAGCTGTATAACATACCAAGCACTCTGACTCAGGGGTTCACCAGGCGGGGTCGCAGCACAGGCCAGCAGCAACATACATTCACTATGCTGCCAAGAAATATGGCTGATACAAAAACCTTTCCAGACTGATTTGAACTGTGTTAAAAAATTATAAAATAATCATGCAGTGTAATATAAAACAACAAACAAAATACCCAATTTCTCATTTAATTAGAACTATTTGCTCATTACTTAATCTGGTATCAGTATCTCATGGTGGAAAATGTTTTTTATTACTTTAAATCAGTTGGTGAATTTATCACAACTCTCTACTGATGTTTGTCAAGTCAGGTTTTAGCCTTTTATATTATTCAATGCTGTAACCTGTGGCAATTTTTCTCACTCACATCTCGTAAAATACGGCAGCTCGGTCGGTGTCCCAACACTTCAATCTACTACGTTAAACAATATAGCATCAGCAAACAACTTTATTGGGTTCAGGCAACCAAATTACTTGACAAGGTTTATGTAATAGTAATAGGTATGTTTGATATGAAGTTGAGGTACATACAGTATTTAACTTGCATAGGCTAAATAAATTAAAGTATTTGCTTTCACACAAGATAACCGCACCAGCCTCCTGGTAAACGTTTTCTGAACCATCCAGCCACCCTAGACTTCTTTCTGACCTGACTTCCTACTTTAAGTCAACCATAACAAGAGATTCTGACAGTTGTTGAATCTGTAGGGCTCTTGCCTATAGTTGCTGTATGCATTGACTTAGGAGTTAGAACGGCTGCTTGTGGTGACAGTGGCTGTGACACTGTTCAACTATCTATATTACAGTAGGATGAGGCAGTATGCATGATCTTTTATTCCTTGGTAGACAGCGACACTGAGTCTGAAGCCGGTCAACCGCCATGAAAAAACACAACAAAGACAAATTAGCTTTGGCTTTGTGGCTAATGTACTCTTGTCCTACAATCACGGAGAAGTGTCTTGGTTGCAGCTTGTCTTGCTGTATGAGCAACGAAACATACATCCACCTTGGGAAAAATGCTTGCTAATGATTGCAGATACTGCAGGCTAATTATCTAATCAGCTAAAGCACCGTGAACAGCGTAAAGAAAAACCCTAGCCGCAAAAATATCAGTGTCCGCCAGTTTAGAAGTTAATTGTTGTATTCCTTTTTTTGAAAAAAATAAAAAGAAAGAAAACAGATACAGTAAGTTTAAACAAAGTTATACTACTTGTACCAACATTACCCCTTTTGTTCCTTCACATTCGTTCATATTATGTTGCTACTAATTTGGCATTAATCCACAGCTGTGCTTACTTGCTCACATAATCTTCAAAAAAATAGTTTCAGACTGTTAGTGTCAATGCTGTCATTTAGAACCTCCCCACAAAGCTATTTGTAGCAAACATTGATCAAATGAGCTTTTGTTATGATGATGATTAATATTTCAATGTACAGAGTTTCATCAGAATCCATCAGCTGCTAGATGAAACACTTTTGTTCCACCTTCAAATATAATAGGTAGTAAAAAAGAGAATTTTTTTAACTCCTGTAAGTTCAATCAATTTGAAGGTTATCTGCACACCTGCCTCTCTCTTTGAGTAGCAGACCTTCCCTGTCAATTGGCTGACAGACAGGAAATGTTTACTTCTATTTTTACCATCTATAGTTAACATAAAAATGACCTGTATATGAAGACGAGCCCTGATGGATTTCTTCAGTAGTATATACTTGCAAACTCACCATGCACTGTGGAATGATCCAAATGAAATAGGACAAGTTGATGCTCATAAAGCAGAGCGTACCACTTCGTGGCAGAAAATAAATCTGAGCATATGTTCACTTGAATTGCAGACTGTGCAGAGCAAATAATTATATGATGAGGCTTTGCATCTTTTGATCACATTTTTTCTCTCAGCGCGGCTCGTCTCTTTGTTGCGTATATCACAGCATCTTCTTAACCCTCCCTCTTCAGTGCACCCTCAAGCAGAGAGACAAAGGTTACACTATCAGAAATTCTTGTACGTTTTCCATAAGATCAGCAGGAGTAGATTCTTATGGGAATGCAAGTGTTTGATAATGTGATCAGGGTAAGGAGAGCCAGCTAATGAGCAGACAGCTTCATAGAAGTGTCATCAAAGAGCAGCTGGCACCTTTCTGGGTCGACATGTGCCATCTTCTAAGTCAGTGTCGTCTCCATGGTCCCTTCATTTCTTCGGCTCTCAAAGGGGAAAAGCCAACTTTGGCTCGCACTTCTTCAAAATTCCCAAATTGGAGTGTGGACAAAAAAGGAAGGTGGCTGAAATCTATCTAAGGCAGGGGTGCCCAACCTTTTTTGAATCGAGAGCTACTTTTAAAGTTGCCAGTCTGCCGAGATCTACCAGTCCAAATAGAGAGGCGTAGCCATTACTGACAGCCTACTACCAGGTAAATACACACTTGTACTTGTATAAAACTGACCTTTGTACGATTAATACTTCATGAAATACTGCAGATCCTTTATCTTAGCCCTGTCTAATCTACACACATACAAGTATTTAACTGAAGTTACACAACAGTGTTGTTGATACAGAGTTGGAGTTTATTCACACGTCACATACTACAGTGGGTAATGTTTTCAAGAAACATTGAACAGTGCTGCCACATATGACACAGGAAAAAAAGAAAAGACTCTGAACCCTTTCTTTGCCATTATATAAAAATAGTGTTGCTACAAAAGTATAAATTAGGCTTACTAATAAGACAACTCAGATCTGAAGCTACACAGGAATCTGCTGCCAAAGTGCAATAAAAAAGACAAAATTAATAGAATCAAACCCTTTTTTTGTTGCATTTTAGTAGATTATAAAAAGAAATGCCTTTAAAATAGGATGCAAGCAACACTAGTTTCTTAACCTGAATTGAGACTATAATCAATTTAAACAGAACAGATCTTAATGTTTGCATTCTTATACCATTTTGTACAATAATTATAATGAATAAGTTCAAACAAACTAAAACTTACAGCTGATTAATAACGGTATCTAACTTGAGTTTTTATTATATCAAAAACCTGTTGAAATACTGTTATTTTTACTGTCCCCAAAAAGCGCGTCGGCAGCCTCCAGGAATGCTTCTTTCACAACTTTGCTGTCTTTGAAAGACTTCATGTGTTTCGCAAGAACGTGACTGACATGATAAGATGCTATGGTAGCAGCCTTGCTCTTGTTGTTGGGCCTGGTGAAAATGGACTGCTGTGCATTTAGCTGTCCTTTCAGGTCCCTCCCCTTTTGGGAGCGTAGGGCAGAATTAGGAGGGAATTCCGTCTACAGCGTGTGTGCACTGTTTTGAAATGCCGCTCCTAAATTACCCTTCTTCGATAAAGCCACGCTCGCATTGCAGATGAGACAGATGGACTTTGAATTGGAATAGATACAAAAATAATCATCCTCCCACTCAGAGTGAAAATTATATATTTTGGGCTTTTTTGCTTCTGCCATAATTGTGGTCTTGTGTGTGTGCGCACTGTCACTCCTGTTGACACGGACAACGTCAGCTAACTAGTGCCCAATGCCCACCAGCCACGCCCCGACACATGGGGTCACGCCGGCCAATCACAAAGCTTTGATGCGTTCAAGTGCATTATTCTGGCACAGGACGATTATGTTATAGGAGATTAACGTTAAAACAGAATATTGTTGTTCTATTTTCAGACACATCTCGCGATCGACTGGTTGGGCACCCCTGATCTAAGGCATTGGAATTCAAGAGTGTTAGAAAGCCTAGTGACGATTGATAGGAAATTAGTTTACCCTCATTCTGCATCGATTTTAACACCACTTAAAAATATAATTTCGGTCTGATGCTAACATGAATAATAATAATAATAATGGTGTTTTCACACATCTTCATCTCTGGCTTTACCTTTCTCTCTGACAGACAATTCAATCAGCGTCCTGGCCAAGCATGATACCTTCCGGCGACAGAAACAGGAAATGTACTTCCTGCCAATCATAGTGACGGACAACGGGAATCCACCAATGAGCAGCACCAACACCCTGACCATCCGAGTCTGTGGATGCAGTAAGGATGGCATCGTCCAGTCCTGCAACGTGGAGGCCTACGTCTTACCTATCGGCCTGAGTATGGGAGCTCTCATCGCCATCCTGGCCTGCATTATACTGCTGTTGGGTGAGGAGTTTCTTTATTTTGCATTGCCACATTATTGTTAAAACTTCCATGATCTGCTTGTACTAACAGAAAATGCACCTGCCAAAGCTTGACCGAGACTTCTATTTTCTATCTTCCTTTCTGTCCCTCCGTCTTTCTGACAGTAATAGTAGTACTATTTGTGACCTTGAGGAGACACAAGAATGAGCCTCTGATTATAAAAGACGATGAAGATGTGAGGGAGAATATCATCCGTTACGACGACGAAGGAGGCGGCGAGGAAGACACAGAGGCCTTCGACATCGCCACGCTGCAGAATCCGGATGGCGTCAACGGCTACCTACCGCGCAAGGACATCAAGCCCGACCTGCAGTTCATGCCCAGGGCGGGACAGCATTCTGGTCCAAACGGCGTGGATGTGGACGAATTCATCAATGTACGGCTCCATGAGGCAGACAATGATGCCACAGCGCCGCCTTACGACTCCATCCAGATCTATGGATACGAAGGTCGGGGATCCATGGCCGGTTCACTTAGCTCACTGGAAACGGCATCATCAGACTCGGATCAGAACTATGACTATCTCAGAGAGTGGGGCCCACGCTTCAGAAGACTTGGGGAGCTCTACTCAGTGGGCGAGAGCGACCGCGAAACCTGACCTTTGGTTGGTTAGAAAAAAAGACCTTTCCGATTTCTTTTCTGTCCACATACTTGTGTATTAAACGCTAGGGGGTTTGCTGGCTTTTAGAAACCGGTGTTTAAAAAAAAACTGTTAATAAAAAGGCAGGCCAACTTTTTGTATTCTTCTTAGAGTGAGGTATAGCAGTCGTCATCCACTACGTCAAGCGCATTGTAATTGTTGAGCCAAACAATGTCTTTATTAGGAGATCTATGATTCTTGTGGAGTGTAACTTAGATTCCGTTGTGGAGTGTCTAGCAGTATTATGGGTGTTAGTCAATTGCTGAGATTGCCAGTAGCAGAAAAACCCTGGGATTGCTGGTAGTTGCCTGATGAAAGGGAACAACGAATATTGTTGGGTTTTCTGAAGCGGATATTTCATGCTCCATTGACAGAAAGTTGGACCTCAGAAAGTGCAGAGTGACTCTTGTCCGATGTCACCCTAGGCCACCCAACTGATCGGCGATATGAAGAAAGTGACAATGAAAAAGCAATATATGGTCTACATTACAATGATGAATGTATGTATGATTTGAAGAAGGCAAAAAGACAAACCAGTATTGGCTTTAAGGTGAATTTGTTATAATTTGATATGTTCTACAGTGGCCACATTTATAAACTATCTAAAGCCCAGAGAGGCTTGCTTTATACAACTCTTTGTATTTACACGCTACAGGTGTGGATCGCAAGTGTTACTAGCCTATAAAAGACTGACGCGAAGACAAAAAAGAGAAATGTAGAAACTCTGAGGCCTTCTTTTTACAGAAGCAACATTAAATACAATTGTAATCTACTGTTTTTTGACAAGAGATGTGTTGATTCTTCATTATTGTTCTCAGTTTTTGAATTTCTGTTATTAGAATCATCTTTTATCCTGTGCTGACAATTTGAAGTGAGTGTGTTTTAGATTCTATCACATTCAGCTGTTTTTTCACTTGAACACTATTTCATAACAGCCAAACCATATCATGAATTTATTGCAGTTGATAATGTAGACTAGATGTAAGCAAAGCAAACAAGAGCTCTAAGTAACAATACAGACGATCTAATTAATTGGGACTGCAGGAATGGGACCTTTCTGACACATGCTAATTCTGTGTAAAATATATCTCATATATTCTGAGGTACAGCCAGTGAGCGTCTGAGCACAATAGTCCAATTGATACCAGAGTATATGTGACTCTCCCTAAACATCAAATCTCATTTAGGGAACACAGATTGCATTAGCCCAAGAAAAAGGAAAACACAAATCAAGACTGTGCATATTGTGCTTACACTGTATGATATAAATAAAAAAGACTTGTAATGTACATAGAGTTACCGCTAATGTCATTAGCTTTCAATGAGGTGGTAGGTTTGTCTCTGCACGTTAGCTCTTGCACATGAGAATTTCAATGGCACTACAGCTGCGTGCATACTCAGTTTGTACTGATACAGTATTATGGCAGTTCTCGGTAGACTTAACAATATATATGGAATAGTCCTACATGCAGATCATATTTTGTACTGTGCTTTACTGCTTATAAATGTGTATGTTCAATTATTTACTCCCTGTACTGTAATCTAAGATACCCTGTATTGTTTCCTACTTTGTGAAATATATTTTTATAAATATCGCTGATTGGCTGTGGTTTTCTTTTGCAGATGAGAACTTGAGGGCAATTAAACCTTGCACATTGGATATTCAAATTGTTAATGGGACCTTCCTACCATTTTTATACACCAACAAGGGGCGAATTACTTGTAATATGATAATTGGATAATGGCTCCGTTGGCTTCAGAGAGAGCTGTCTGAAGTTTGAGAAAAGAACCCTAATGATGTTGCAGTGATGTCATCAGGGTTATTCGGCCAATGGCTTGGAGGCTACAAACTAAATGTGTTTAACAAACTTGAGGTGTTGAGTTTGAAAGAGTTTACAAGACATTGGGGAACTAACAAAAGTTGCAAGTGATTGTATTATGAGAGCCAAGTTATTTTGTAGTTTGATGCTAGAGTTAAGAAATCTACTGAACTATCGTTTGTTCAAACTGTGTCTTGTGATTCCCTCAACTTTATGGAGGTAGGTTACTACTGTGAATGTACCCTAAAATGAATCACCTGGTCTGTTTTGGTCCTTGGTTTCTTATGGGTTTGACTAAAGGTTATTGCACCAATTATGTAAATGACAACATTTCATCAGCTCGTGGAAAGCCTTGAACATTGAAGAGAAATATTGTAATGTAAATGTAGAAAATACAACTGGACCCATTGTCAAAGTAACAGGAAGGCTGCATTGAATCTCTTATGCTTCATCAAACAGTGACCCTCTTTGTCACATAGCATATTCTGGCCATGGGCTCCTTTAAAGCACACATTGTTTGTTCCATTGTGTTTCCTGCTGCTGTGGTAAGCACGACTTCTAACCGACTTGACTCAACATTTTATTACTACAGCTTTAGAACTGAACATGCACGCTAACACAGCAGTAAGATAAGAAAACACAACATGGAGGAAAGAAAAGTCAAATGCTTATCATTTCCCTAGCAGCTTTTCCTTAGTTTTAAAATGTTTCTGATGTTGAAGGCAACCTTTCATCCCTATAGGCTACAAGTTGCCGTTTTGCTTTTGCAGAAAATAAACTGTCCTAAGAAAGTGCTTTATCAGTTTGACATTATGAAGTTATGACAATTCAACTTTTATAAAATATAGCTAGCAGTGCTGTTTAAATAACTTGCAGGATTAAACAGAATGTGTCCCTGTCACACAGATAGGAACAGAGCAGTCCTTTCAAATATGGTCACACTAAATTATATATATATATATAATTCTAAACAGCAAGATATAATTAGAATAATGCGACCTAATCTGCCGTCTATCATTATCTTTGTCTTATCAAACCAGGGGGAAAAAAATGTAGACTTGTGTACGACTGTTATTCCCATCTCAGAGTACCAAGGGAGATAACAATTATGCATTAGAAAGGCCTTCATTAAAAATAATTAATCTGGTACGTCAATTGTGCTGTGTTACAGTGATATTCATGTGCTTCTGTCATTTATTTTATTTTTATGAGCAAAGAAGATTAGATGTAATGCAATTTCCCGTTTATTGCCTCTTTTTATTTGTACTTCCTTTTGTTATCCTTTTTTTTTAATACATGTTAAACATTGTCTCGTCTTTGTTAATCTTGTTGAAAGATTAGACTTCTGTTCGGCTCTATCTGATATTGAAGTTTCTCATAAATGACAAAAGATTTTTGATCGTATCAATTACCGGCTGTGCCTCACTGAAGTCAAAGGCACAGAATCACACAAATCCACTTGCGCGTATATATAGAGCGTGCAGTACAACATATAGGCAGTCAATTGCTCTGCTTGATAAAGTTCTTAATAAAAACAATATGGATACTATTGCCAAAGATACATTTGATGTCAAAGATCAGAAATATCAGAGGTCTTATCATCTGATTCCACATTGCTTCATACCTTTTCCAAACTTTCCAGGAGAGGTGTTGGTGGTTCAGATGCTTTTGCCCTCTGGGATTGAAAGTGATGTTAAATCTGGAGGCTGCTATCTGTACACACCTGATCCATTAGTCAGAAAATCAGCCACGGAACACATTTTACCGCCCGATATCTACAGCTAAATGATAGCACAAATTGTTTTCCGGGATGTACGACCCCGGCAGGTCAGCAGACTCATTTGTAGTCAATCTTCATGCACCCCCACTGCTGTGTATGGCTGCAGGTCTAACAGAGGTTGGCTAACGAAACAGTAAATCAAATTATATTCTTCGTTTTGTCACGTAATGGAAGTGTCCCTAGGGTGACAACCTTGCACTAGGTGTTCCCTGCTGATATTTGGAAGATTGTATAAGGCAGGCTCGTGGCTCTGGCTCGTTTAGAAACTGTAATTACTGTTGCCTGGCAGAGATGCCCTCAATTACAAAAAAACGTTGGTGCATGCAAATTAGGAAAGCCGCTCTCTCTTCTGAATTTTTGAGATATGGGTATCATAGGTTGCTATGTCGTACTCCATGTTTGTTCTTTGTGTTTTTCATATTTACCGTTGTCCTGTTTTGGATTGTGTTGAAGTGTTTGTATATTTCCAACTTACTATACCTCAAATGGTATGTAAGCGCTTTCAGTTGTTGTTTTTTTAACCATAGTACATTGTATTTGTTACTAACTAAAAAAACGATATTTGCTAAATTAATCAAAGCTTTTCAGACATTATCTCCCTAAGCAACCGTCCTGTTTTAAGTACAGTCCTTATAGTGTTAAGTCTTTTATTTCAGAAACTAAAAATACCTCATGCTCTAGTCTAGTAGTGTATTGTTTAATTCAATGTCTTTCCCTTTTGTATCATCTGCAGTGTACAGACAACAATCATCTGCCTTACTCTCATACCAAAAGAAATGTGTCTGAATTCTGTGATGAAGTAAGAAAATATAATAGAGATGGAAGATGTCCCTTATTTATACTATTTCTTAATATTGGTAAACCCGACATGGCTTTGGAAACATAATGATGTCTGTGTGTTTGGATTTAGATTCAGGCCCAATTCCAAACCACACCCTACCCACTCCCACTCTGTGGCAGAGTGAACTCCGTGTCGGAGTGACACTCGCAGCTCAACGAGGCTCCCTCCTATCAGATGGAGGGTGTAAATACAGCAGCAAGCTATGGGACAAACTCCCCTCTCTCCAGCAGAAACAGGAAATGCAGTAACTGTATGTAACAACGGTTTCAAATCAGCGTCTCTTGGACAAAAAATGTAAATGAATAACTCAAATAAAACTCCAAACATATTTCATTGTGTTACTTTTTTGTAAAGCTCTTTCAGTTTTAAACCTGATGTTTATAAGCTTCTTAGTTTTTGCAACAGTCTGTAAATATACACAACTTTATAATAAAATGCACACATTTACCTTTTTCTAGACCAGGGGTTCCCAACCTTTTTTCCCAAGAGCCCCCCCAAATGACTCCTGTTGGAAGTCCCCCCCCCCCTCACACACACACACACACACAAGGGGGGGAAGGGGGAGGGGGCGCAACAGCGGTAATTACATTTTAAAAGTTTCAAAAATGCTACAACTACTGTCACAAACTGGATGAATGTGAAGTATTTTGTTAAAGGAGGATGAAAGCGTAATTAAGGAGCACTATTGGAGTTGTATGCCCGCTGTATGAAGAAATTAAAGGACTGCGCAAGTGGAAACAATTCACAAAGGGATTAAACTGTTGAGCATTAAACACATGTTCAAATTAAGCCGGATTTTACCGATGTGTTTATGTGGATTCAAAAGTCAGAAATAATCTACAAAATGGAGACCGGCATGGACAATGACTATGTTTTAAAAATGTGCTTATCCAGAAAAGCCTGGTTTGGACACTTTACGGGCAGAAGAAACATTTCTGTCTTTTTATGCCTTTATTAGCTACTAACTTGAATTTGTATTCAAATTAATTAATCAATTATTTTTTACATTTTATTGTAATGTAGAGACAAGGCTTTTAGTGTCAATCATGTATTGCATTGCAATTATATGTAAAAAAAAAAGAAAAAGAAAAGTCTAAATATGATATTTGGCCTCAAATCATCTGAGGCCTGATTTTCGATCAGACGAGATCTCTCTCCCCGTCTGTGTGTGAGGGGGCGGGGCAGTTTACACACATGCAGCTGCTACATGCAGCAACACACAGCAGGGATGGCGGAGAGAACGCGCTCCGAGGTGTGGTTAAACTTTACCCGTCTCGACATGGGCGGCGCCAGGATTTATTTGCTGCAGTAGCTTAGCAGTTGCTATATGACAGCACGGCGTTGCTAGTTAATTTTCTAAATAAATAAACAAACAATACCAGTGGGCCAAGCACGAGCATGTTCCTATTGTAGCATTCATCGCTATTCAAGATCATAGATCACGAGCCTTCAATGTCGAAAACGTTCTCTTTATTTTCTGGTATTGGGAATCACTGTTCTAGAATCTAGACTAAACACAGGTATGATCCTAAGTTAAAAACATATGAAGTTATCATGAGGTTGTTAACATCGCAATTTATTAGCTGGAACTACTTGTAAACAGCTTGTTTCCTGACGGACACACACAGCATTGAGACCGGTCAGGTAGGGCAGCAGGTGAAGTCAGGACCGATGCAGACTCGCTGTTTGAGGGCTTGATAACCCACTCCCCCTCCACACTCGTTGGTTTGGAGCAGCACTTAAAGTACAGAACATGCAAACGGAGGGGTAGTGTGTAGGGGTAGGGTGTGGATTGGAATTGGGCCTTATTCTGCTTCCCTTCCTACTTGCTGAACCTCCGTACTTTTCCATTCACCCAGCCACTCCCACCCTCTCAGCTCACCTGGGCATCTCATCCACAACCGAGCCAGTATATAAGTTTGTTCTTGCCACTCATGCAAGACTCTTTAGAACTTGGCTCTGGACTGGTTTCCAGTTACGGACCCTGACCTGTCCGGTAAACCTTCTGAGATCTGCTTCCTACGTTCTTGGTCAGTGTCTCCCCTTGGCTGTTGGCTGTCACTGGGGCGCTTACCCTACTGGGCTTCCTGATCCTTGGCCCCAGCCCCTTTAACCTATCTTTTCGCCTGTTCACTACATGTAGGTCGGACTTTGTCACTACTTGTGTTTGGTTAATTAACCTACCCCTTTCCTGTACCTGCTGAGTTTTGACATTGAAGGTCATTACTACTGGACACCGACCCCTCTGTTGTCCGGCGCACATCAATCTGTTTATCAAATCTGCCCTTCCTACCATTCCAAAAACAGTTGCCACAGAACTCCGAAATTTCACTCTCTGAGTTCTGGTGCAAAGAACACTTGTACACCACCTTCATCACATCCCGTCCTGGATATGCTGCAAATGGAAAGTCCTTCCGGGGTTCCCAGCAAAACCCTTGAAACAGGCATCAAAATACGTCCAGAACTCTTGCGCCAGGTCTCTCACCCGCCACGCAACCATGGCAAACATGGCTGCCCTACCACAACTGGATGCCGGCAGTCAGGAGATTCAAGTACATGAAAATCTTCCTCCTAAACGGTACAATCCCACCAATACCGCTCGCCACCCATTACTTATCGACCCTCCTCCAATCCCCTACACCCCTTCCTCGGAGTCTCGTCCTCAGACACGGCCTTGCTCCATCCCCCACTCTTCTCTCGAACCTGTTGGACAGGGCCGTTCAGGATGTTGCGGCCCGCACCCTCCTGGGATGCATCTGGCCGAATCCGTAAGCCGCCTCCGGACATCTTTTCAAATCATCA